AAAGAAGTTGATTCTGTCCTTCCACTTTCTATCACTCTTGTATGGTTACCTAGAGATATAGGGTAGAAACATGGCAAATCAAAGTGGACAAAAGTGATTTATTTTCATGCAATGTTTTATTATAGGATTCATAGATTTGAAGTATAGAGATGCTATTTAGGGTAAGATTAGTTGCTAATAATAGCCAGCAGCCTCATAGGCGACAGGGAAGGTGGCAAGGTGGCAGTCATGGCATCAAGATAGAAGCCCCACCCCTTTCTAGTAGTGCATTGGTGCCTCCATCTTATTTATTTTGGCCCACCTTGTAGATATCACTGAGAACATTATCAAAATGTGTTCTGCATTGTTAGTCTTTAGCAGTGATAAAGTTATCTAGCGTCCATTTCATTCGAACAGCTAATTACTTAAACTCTTTCCACCCAAAGAAAACCCTTTCCCAAATATTGCCCTTGAAAGCTCACATTTGCATATGTCGTTATGCTATTGCCAAACCCAATATAGTATTTCATAAACCCCATAGCTACACCCAAATTGTTAAGCTTACCTTCTAGTCATGAAAAGTTGTCCATCATATTATCTAATACTCTCTTATATAGCATTGACCCGCCCCAAAATTATGTGCCTATTGCTCCCATAATTTCCAGACAGTATGGTCAATGATGAATATTGCAGTAGAGCAGTGGTAGTATTCAGCCGGTTCTATCCAGTTCGGGCAAACCTGCAGCGGTGCCTGCAGGAGGCTCCACCCACCTGCCCAGACGTCATCACGTCCCATTTTTGACTCTCTGCGTGAACGCACTCACATTTGCGAACCAGTAGTGAAGGTAAGTGAATACCATTCCTGCAGTAGAATATAACCAGAAGCCAGAACCATTTGCAGTTTTTTTAAAAGCAAAACTGTACCCTCTCTCCCTTGCATACTTTCCACACAACTGGGTAAAAGAGGATTTACACATTGCTTCCTCCAAGCGTTGACTGCCAACACTGAATTTTAAGTGGAATGATAGATTTCCTAGTGCTTGAAGCTATTACCAAACACATCTTCTCCTGGATTTCAGTTGTTTTTGAGTGAGGTCATGTTGGGCAGGTGTGTTCATATACTAATATTTTAATCATGCGATGAAATTAAAAATCAGATCTAATTTTTGCAGAAATTGTTAACCCTTGGAGGGATTCCTAATGTGCCAGGAGGTCTTCACTCATACAGGCTAATTGCTTTCAGTAGTGCCTCATAAAGTGATCTCACTTCATTGGATACCAAAGTTTCTCAATATGGCAGGGAGATCCTATATACCTCTTGGGGACAATTATTTGGGGGGGAGAAGAACTACCCTGTTTCCCCTAAAATAAGACCTCCCCAGATAATAATCCCAATTGGGCTTTTGAGTGCATGAGCTAAAATAAGGCCCCTCCTGAAAATAAGCCTTCTCCGAAAATAAGCCCTCCCCGAAAATATTAAACTGCATGCACAGCCGGTCCCTGCCATTTCCTCTGGTTAGGGTTAGGGACACAGAGCTGGAAATCAGGTAAAACAGCAAGAAGAGCCTCGTCTTGCTCCATGTGCCCCCAAAATAATAAGACCTCCCCAAAAATAAGGCCAAGTGCTTATTTGGGGGTTCAAAAAAATATAAGACAGGGTCTTATTTTCGGGGAAACACGGTATTTAAGAGGAAGAAGCAGTTACCTGGAAACAATGACACAACTTTATCTTTTAAAAAATAATCTTTGTAAAAAGGCTTAACTACAACAACTGTCCAGTGGGCAAGAGAGAACTGTTTATCCAAGAGGAAGAAAACTCTGAATTTAAGGCAGTTGTCCATCAAAAGTATTGTAAGTATAGACACAGCTTGTGTGTGTGCTACCCAGTTTTCCAACCTTGTCAATTTGGGACTGCCAACACCAGATGAAACTAATGCAGGATATTCCTCCTGTTACGTCTGTGTGTTTGTGTGGGAAAGAAAGATACTTGTATGTGTGTGTATATGCACATCTGCCAAAAGCTGCGTATCCCCATCTGCATATAGCAACTATTCTGTCACAGAACACTTTCACACCTAAGCACCCATGTACATATACTTGGATTTTCCTTTCTTTCTAGAAACAACAAACATGTTGTTTTAAAAACAACATGATTCAAGAAGTGAAGCTCTACCAAGAAGGGGAAAAAAAGAGGGCTACAAAACTGGAAATGAGGGGAAGAATAACTTGGCAGGGAAAAACAAACCTTGTTGAAGCATTAGAAAAATAGGCTAAATTTAATCAGGGAGAAGCAGGGAGAAGCTGTGCCTTTCCTAAATTGGATTGTGGTGATTAGGCTTATCTTTAAAAGCACCCATGTTAGTGAGATCTGTCATTGTTCACAACTTCTATTTATTTGCTTCATTTCAGTATCTTCTCGGCAATCATGAAGTAGGGTGGGAGTTGTTTTACAAGTAACTATTTGGGGCCTCCCGTCGCTACAATACTGCAGCTAACATATGCATCCAGTCAGAATGCAGTCTCCTTGGCTACCAAAGCCCTATCAAAACTAAAAGCTTGAATCTCGGCTAATATTAAATATCTGTGCCCTGTCAAGCTGGCCAATTAATAGGAAGGAGAGTAAACAGAATGTGTGATCAAGGACAAGGGAAGATCTGAAGTCAGAAATTTTTGAGGGACAGCATTCAAAAACAGCCATACATTTAAAACAGAAAATGGGAGATATGTATGCAGTAAACATAGCTAGGAATTGAAAGTAATGAGGAAGGCAAAATTTGTCAAATATTTGAACCATCAAACATAGATGGTGGCAGAGATGCCATTTTAGGTTTCAGCGGTAAGAGGTGAGTAAAACAGACAAAAGAGCAAGATTCACAATATATTGGAAATATTTGATTTGGGATATATTGAAGACAGAACTCAATATTTTAAAAAATGTATTTTAAATTTATTTAACTGCCAAACTTTATGCATCTCAGAGTGACTACAGATAGATAGACATTCCTAAAAATGTGACATGAAAATGCATCCGCACCTTATTATATGGTAGTCATTTGGGTTTGAAGAAGATACACTTCAAACTTCACATATGCAATTCATCTATGGACATGGGAGTGGCTCTACAGTCTCAATCTGGAAGTGTGGAATCTAGCACAATGGGGGCACTGCATGTCCATTGTTGTAATAACTGGGTTTTATTCTGTGATGCCACTCATGGCTTTCTATCAGTTTGTTAGTGATGTCTGTCTTCAAAGCTGGTGGAGGCTTCATAGCAGAGCTCACCAGTGGGTTTTGGCAGCAGCTGCAGCTTCTAGTTCCCTTGGGTGGATGATACTGTGGCATAGGGTTTCTCCCCCGGGATTTTGTGGCACTTTTGTGGTTGACTCTCAGATCTCTTCCCAGACTCCAATACACTATAGAGCAACTGGTGAAGCATATGGCGGTCATCCATTCTGATGATGTTTCCCATCTCATCTGAGCTTTGATAATCAGGAACTCAATGCTGGTGAACCCCACATGGTCCAGGTCCTCCAGGTTGGAGACCCGACCTTGCCAACCAGTGCTGAAGGTAGAGCAGAGAGCACACATATGAAATTTCTCCAATTGTTTGATGTGTCTTTGGTACAGAGTCCAGGAGTCATATTCTTATAGGGGAAAAAAGATAACCACAGCCCTATAGACGTTCAGCTTTGTGGAGATAAGGATATTGCAGGGATTTATTTTACTGTTCAGCTAAATAATTGTATCTGAATATATGAGAATAAAACATCTGAGAAGAAATAAAGGCAAATAGAATTGAAGGACTAGTTCATTCCTTGTATTCCATTGATGTAGTTGCATTAATTCTGGGTAACCCTAAACTTTTACAGCATCTTATGAATATGTTATGCTGCTGTTTGCATGTTTTGGTGGGGCTGCAGGTAACCAAAAGACTGGTTCCTTTCCCTCACTTGCAAATGTTTGAAATATCCTGAGAGTTTGAATCTCGTCTCGACTGACATACTGATCTATTGCAGATTGAGTTTTGACATGAATATTTCCTTTTTCTCCACACAATTGAGATTTTGATATTCTCTCACAGTGGAGAACATAATGCACTAAAAGAAATCTAGTAGGCAGGTGCACAATACTCATTAAGCTCTTTTGCTAGCATCTGCCAATGCAATCAAGCCATTCCAGAGCTAAAAATCTTTCTGCACGTATTAGAGAAGGTTCCATCATTACGAACCAGAGTCCTTCTGAAGGCTATTCTCCCCAGGGTGATAGCTGTAATGATTTTAAAGATTACCTTGTCATGAAGAGGTAAGATCCATGTAAATCCTTCATAGTTCTTTTATACAAAGAGGGGGTGGATGGGAAATACCAGGAATGTGTGATGAGAGTCTGTGAAATTAAGTCAAGTTTTAAAAGAGAATTTAGCCTTTTGAAAACAGCTCTAAATAGCCTTCTCCTTAAGAAGCTTTTATAGGTGTTGGCAGTAGTCTGCTCACAGCTGGATTCTGCACTTTTTTTCCTTTGCATTCATTTATGCCATTGTAATTTAGGAGTGGCTCATTTTAGCTGAGTGGAGCTTAACTGAGGGGATAATCAGGTCTTCTGATTTTATTGAAATGTTATCACCGAGTTCAGTCCCCAAATGTCAGCATCTTCATTCCTTCTAGGTAATGCTGTCACATAATTAATAAGACTGTTACAGATGATCTTCCACTAATTAGGCAATATACTTGTTCTACTTACTAATTAAAGAATTACTCTGACATTTGGACTTCCTAAGCTGTCAACCTTTCATGTATGTGCATATGTGGGTGTATACAATCAGATACAGAAACACACAATGCTTTATGTGTGTTTGTGTATATCTGTTTAACTATTAGCAAGATCCTAAGGGCTACTTGATAAAAAAAAAGAAGACACTGCTTAGACATAATATATGAGAGCATGACATAATCTCTTGAACAGATTATTACTATATTTCTCTATGTCTAATCAAACATATATAAAAATATTTTTTTTCTCTACAGTCACAATATTCTCTTGTATGAAGATGGCCATGCTGTTGTTGCTGATTTTGGAGGTAAAAAAATGGATTTTTTTAAAAAAAAACAGTACATTTTTGCATGCTCTGTAAAAAAAAACAAGATGACATAATGACTTTGTATGGGTGGATGGACTCTTTGGAATTTTGAGTACATTGTCACAGGTCACTTATAAATATTTGGCTTTGGTGAGTCATCAGTTTAGCAGCAGGAGATATTTTGCAGAAGCATCCACTCCTATGTACCTCCAACCCTTGAAGTCCGGTCTGGTTACATGACAGGTTGGTACAAATGGCATTTCTGGAAAAGCAAGGTCTGCAAAATTTCACTGATTCTTTGTCCTGTGATTGATTCATGATTGCAAAGATACAATATTTCCATCTAGCAACTCTTAATTGTAGGTGTTTGTGTAAAAGAGCCCTGGGCTTAAAGTAAAAAGCCTTTAAAAATGCAAAAGATAAAGGAAAAAAAAACCTGTACAGGATTTTCTGCATTTAGAAGTTGCCATGTGCAGCATTGTTAAAGAATTGAAACGCCTGTTTTATATTCTTTGGAAAACATGCTGAAATATTCAAATAAAAATGTGTGTTTTTACAAAGTTATTGTTATGCTTCACGAAACTGATCACTTGGATACTCAGCTATGGTATTACTGCATTTCTGTTTTGTTTTCATATAGCTGTGTACTCTTTTTTTCCACTTGCTTATCTGAACTAAGTGATATTGATTTAAATACTCTCCTCCCTTTGTTTTTCCTTTAATTTTGAATCCTAGAATCAAGATTTTTGCAGTCTCTGGATGAGGACAATATGACAAAGCAACCTGGGGTTTGCCTTTTTTTTTTCTCTTTAACATTTTCATGTGTTTGAGAGTGTGCGTGTGTGTTCTATATATAGTACACGTATATACCATATATATATATATATATTTTTTTTAAATTTGATTTATATGCCGCCCTTCTCCGGAGACTCAGGGCGGCTTACAATGCGTTAAGCAATAGCCTTCATCCTTTTGTATATTTATACAAAGTCAGCTTATTGCCCCCACAAACTGGGTCCTCATTTCACCTACCTTAGAAAGGATGGAAGGCTGAGTCAACCTTGAGCCTTGGAGAGATTCGAACCAGCAGTAAATTGCAGGCAGCTGTGTTAATAACAGGGTGCTTAGACCACTGTACTATCAAGTCCAAGTTACAGTATATTGATAGTGTGTTCCATTGTTTCTTGTCCACATTCATTTTCGGTAGAGTGCTCGAAGATTATTGAGCAAAAATATGTTATTTCTGCTTTGCATGCAGCAATGGGTTCTAGTTTGCATCAGTGATTACCCTAATATTAGCTTATATTAGCAACTCAGAATCAAATTGTAACTCTTGGTGGACTAGCTTCCCGCCCACTACTGCTTATATTGTAATTGTTTTATCCTTTCCAAGTTTTCGTGAAGAACTCTTGTGAGACAAAAGTTGAGTTTTATACTGAGAATTCTCACAGACAGCTTGCAAATTTGGTGCCGATCTGAGAAAGTCCCTTTTCTCAAATTGCCTTTGCAAAATAGAGTCAGAAGCAATTGCCCGAGAGGGGAGATCTGAGTTGTAGTTGGTGAAACCCCACAGGTTAACCTTACTGAAGATGTCCCTAAGCATGCTGATTGCCACGATGGGTATTATTTTCAAAAATTTTCTAGTCCAATTCACTAAACCAGAACTCTCTAAAAATTTCCTCATTTCTATCACTATATAAATATCTTAGTAAGGCTTCTTTCAAATTCGAAGAATTGCGATCTTTGCTATTACAGGTAGTCCTCAGTTAATGATCCTAATTGGACTGGGGTTTTGGTCACTAAGTGAAGCCTGTCATTAGCCAAAACATGACATGACAACACTATTTAGTGACAGCAGTTTCCATATTGCAATCATTTGGCCAGATTTGCAACCATGCCATCATTAGGCAAGGACATCATGCTTCTCCCGACCTGCCGTGCTCACTTCCCCCTCATGTATCTCTCTCAATCTTTGTTGTTTTGACTGCCATGCACTCTGCCATTCTCACCAGCTTATAGCCCACCTCACCCCCCAAAAAAAGTAGAGATGAGCAGGAGATAGGTGGGTGGTAAAAGTTGAAGGGCATGCTATGGTTATAAATGTGGAAGACTGCCAAGCACCCACATTTTTTATCCCATGACCATAGGGACGCTGTAACAGCTATAACTTCAAGAATCTCTCTGGCGTAACTATAATTCATTCAGCATCATTGTAACTTTGAACGAATGGTCGTAAAACACAAACCACTTTTACTTGCTGTAAATGGGGCTGCCGACTCCATCCTCAATTGCAAAGAATCAAACCAGAGGCTCATTCAGTGTACTAAGCTGCTCAGAAGCACAGTCACCATTTCCAAGGCCTGAAAAGGGACAAAGAAACCTGAAACTGGCGGTAAACCTTTAGTAAGCTGCACATACAAGAAGAGAGACCATAGAATCCAATCATTTGTAAATTCAGTGCTTATTGGTGCACTATATTTGTCACAGACATATGTTGCTCCTCTGTATCCAGACATATTGCAAAAAACTGATTTCAGACAGTCTTCAGTAAAATTGTATTTCAGAGTGGAAACATGCACAATGAAAATTGTTTTGGTGTTTTGCAGGCCATGAATCTCAAAATGCAATCTATAATGCCTTGGCTGCATGTTAATATGGAAACAACCCAATCACTATGATGAATCCTTTCATTCATAGAATTATTTTGTTAACTTAGTGCCAGAAAACAAACAGAAATAAAACAGAGAAGAGAGGGGCTTTTTTGTGAAGAAATCTAACATACGGTTATTGCATTATTGATGTTGTCTTGATATATAGAATCTGCGCTGGATGGCCCCTGAAGTATTCACACAGTGCACACGGTACACCATAAAAGCTGATGTTTTCAGCTATGCCTTGTGTCTCTGGGAACTGTTAACAGGAGAAATCCCATTTGCTCACCTGAAGCCAGGTAAGACTCTGAGCCAGTTTAACATCAAGCTTGTTGCACGATAAAGCAATGCCCTGCATGTGAATAATTTCAACTTGGTTTTAGAGGAATGCTTGCCTATTGATTTGTTCTGTTTAATATTATGAGGTTTCAGTTTTTACATAAAAATTGTAGAGGCAAGGTATTGCAATCAAGCCACAGTTTTCATTGAAATCAGGACCTCATTTTTTTTTAAAGAAACATATAGGCAACTGAATAGCTGATAATAATATTTAGCCCTTAGGTACTTCCTCCAAACTGTTCAGGCTTACTAGAATTTTAATTTTCTTTTACTACAGGGATTGGTGCCTAAAAGATAATAATATGTTGATGAAAAAATACCAGAAAGCAGAAGCAAAAAAGTACCCACATCACAGCCAGGCGCATGTGTTGGGGAACTTTCATAGCTAAAACCGTGAATTAAATGAATTAATCCAGTGTCAATTATTGCATTTTAGAGTTGTGCAGTTTCAAGGGGACGCTGGAAGTCTTCTAGCTGACTCTTCAGCTCAGGATCTATATCTGGATGCATAACATTTGCCAATTTAAGAAGATATTTGAACTTTCTTTTCAAGATTTGGGGGTGGAAGGAGGATGATCAGTGATCTCCTATGGATTTGGTGGAGAGATGAAAGGAAACCATGCACATTTCACTAACTTCATTTGGATCCAAATTCTGGCTGCTGCTACCAAATACAACTTAAACCGAAGAGGTTTCTGAAGAAGTCAGTTTACTATAGTAACACAGAAGATCTATACTGTAGATAGATTCTATGAATTATACTTTTCAAGAAGTATAACAAAGAAGGATGGGGCAGAAAACGGTCCATCTCTGTGGAAAACAACAGTGTATTCTCTTTCTTTCTTCCCAGCTGCCTCTTCTCAGAATGGGACAACTTGCCACAACTTTGCTGTGGCAAACTCGCCACGATCAACATGCCACAGTCAACTTACTGCAGCCAACTCACCATGGACAACTCGCTGCAAGACAACTCGCCACAGCCAACTTGCTGCGGGACAATTTAACAATTCTATTTAATTATTTAAAATAAATTAATTTTAATTTTTGCCATTCACAGTTCTTTTCTTTAATGATTCTATTCCACTATTATATATTAAATATATAATATATAATTAAATATATATATATTAGTGTAACTCTTGTCCCACAGCGAGTTGCCCTGCAGTGAGTTGCCCACGGTGAGTTGGCCATGGCAAATTGTTATAGACCCACCTCTCCCTACTGATTTTTTTCAGGTTTCTCCTTATTGCTGTTAAGAGCCAAATGCTTTCACAGTGTTAACAGTCTTCTAAACACTAAGGAGCTTGCCGTCTGAAGGATTTCCTGAATCTTCCTGTTTTAACATATATCTGTTGTTTCTCACTAATTAGCTTCACTTGTCTTGTACAAAAACTCTCCATTCCATTTCTCCATTGCTGAGTTTTTCAGCATCATTATTCCTCCAATGCATTTAAAGCTACATATTTATTGAAGTTCTGTTCTTATATTTTGTTGGTGAGAACTGAAGAAGATTCCTTTATTACCCTTCCTTCTGAGAGCTTATTAAGTCCAGATTTACATTTCTTTTGACTTTTATGGAATTATTATTGTTTCCTTAGTCCATTCTTTATTTTTTTTTCTCCTTCTCTTTTCCTTTTTCAGCAAAACAAATTATATCTTTCAATTGATGGGTTTTGCTGGCATTAATTTGTTAAATCTATTCAAGTAGAGGAATGAGGTTTTGATGTAGAGTATGGAGGGCCATTGAAGTAGCTTTGCAACTAAGTTCACTCTTTTAAATGAATTTTTATTGAAGAAAATGTTAACAGAATAAAAACAGTATGAATTTAAAGAAAAGTGAATATAAAAGTAAACGAAAAGTAATAAACAAGAAAAAAAGAAGACAAGAAAGAAAAAAATATTAAACAGTTATTTCCAATTTTTCCAATTTTCTATATAGCATTTATATTTTATCCTCTCTAAAGATACATCATGATGCTTTCTTTTCATATTTTAGCATTTCTAATAATCAAATCCTTTTTTCCTTTTTTCCAAACCTAAAACTAGTTTTTTTCCATCCATTATATTTGGTCTTCCATTTGCTTCTCTCTCTCTCTCTCTCTCCCCTCTCCCTCCCTCCCTCCCTCCCCCCCCTCTCTCTCTCTCGTTAACATTTTTATCTTTTGATTATTAATTTTAAAACCAGCTAACACACCAAAATCTTTTAATTTTTCCATTAATATCTCTATTCAGGGAATTCTTTCAGAATCATCACCATACTATCAGCATATTTTCTTCCCTTTCACTCTTCATTCCAGCAATTCTCTCATCCTTCCTTATATCTCTAATCAAAACTTCAAGAGCTGGAATAAACAAAAGCGAAGATAAAGGTCATTCTTGCCTTGCCCCTTTTTGAATTTCACAAGATTTTATTAATTCTCCATGCTACTAGGTTTGCGTGTTTCTTGAAATTAAGTTAGTACATATTGTCAGTCAGATTCTGCCACAAAATATAAATAAAATTCTTTCTTCCCCATTTTGATCTAACATATATCCAAACATGTTGTCTGGTTTCACACAACATATTTAACCCGCATCCATTTTCTGGGTTCACAATATGCTAAACCATAGACTAATCCTAACCCCAACCCTAGCCATGTTAGTCTATGGTTTAGCATGTGATGAACCCAGAAAATGGATTAATTCAGTTACATATGTTGTGTGAAACATAATCAAGGTACAGAAGACCTAAATAATGTTGACACTAGTTAGAATTGATCCTGCTGTTCAAATGCATTAGATTGGCATTTCTCTGCCTTAGTGATGCATGTGAACCCAGCTAATTTCATTAAGTTATCAAGTTATTTGGGGTTCCTGTCATAGAATGGATATTTGAATAGTGTCACCAAATTGATATGATATGCACTGTCAAATATTTCAATGAGGAAAGGAAGATCCCTCAATGCCATCTTATTTATAAAGTATTTGTTTATTAGATTTATAAGCCACCCATCTAACTGTCCAGTGACTCTTCAGTCATTATGATGGAACTGTGGTCAGAATAAACCTCTATATTTATAATGGCTGATTCAGTCCTATTAGCTCAATTCACTGCATTGGAACAATTGCTTCAATGGGTTTCACAACTCCCTAGGAATAATCTAGTCATACTAAATGGAGAGTGCAGGAAACAAAGCATTCAGATTAAGAAAAGAAAGTAGACATTAGGTCTTTGTCCCAGCCAAGGATATTTTGAGATACATGCATTACTGTGCCAAGGTCAGAATGACCGCTGACTAAGTCAAACTCTGTAAATAGTAAAAATCAAGTGGATAACACTCAGAAAAAGAACTTTTATTTCATGTGGCCATTAATACATAATTTTCCCTTCAGCTCTTTATTTCCATTTGGCTGTCTTCTTTGGAACTCTCTTTTTCTAAGAGGTATAATTCCAGTTGTTAAAAGCTTGCAAGTTATTCCATATTCTCCTCTAGGGTCACATCCTTTACAAAGATTTCTAGAAGCAAGGCAAGGAAGAATTGTGTTTTCCTCTTTGTTAGGAAGAAAGAAAGAGATAACAAAACACAAACACTGCCTACTGAACATTTTTTTGACCCCAGTCTTTTAACACTCTTTGGAAAAGCAAGGCAATTGCCTGACTATTAATCTATGATGAATTTTAAAATAAGGCTAAATAATACAGAAAGATAATATAGAAAGGTGGAAGGCAAGCATCTTACAAAGAATGAAAGATTGTCAGCGTGCTGAAAAACTGCTTAGGTTTTATAATACAAGCATAATAGAAATAAGAAGGTAACAATTCATTATGTAAAGCATAACTGCCAAACAATTAAATTACGGTGTTTATCAATTAAGCTGTGAGCAAAAGATCTTTGTGAAGAGGAATGTAAATCTGAATGAATATACCACTTAGGGCTGTTGTAGTAGCTTCCTTTTACTACATGGGAATAAGAGGTCATACTGAGTTAAGTCCATAGAAGCATAGCTCTGGCTATGCAGATATGGAGATCTTTGTCTCATTTTGCTATATTGTCTGCAGTGGTTGCTTAGGAAAAGCCACTGGGGTATTAGTGAGAGGAACAGGGATATGAAGATTAATAAATATAGATTCCAATTGAAGTTGAAGGTGGAGTTTAGCTTCAGGAGGCAAATTTGCTGCTTGGATTTGTTCACCAGTTAATGTTCAGTGTCTTTATTCAACCCAAGAAGGTAATTCTGAAATTTATTTTCTAGGGAGTTGCAAATCTACCCATTAAGGCTGACTTGTTGCAATTCACTATGATTAATTAAGAAACTACCAGAGACTAAACTACAGCCTATACCTCTATCATAACATGGAGGCAGATGGCAGTTCTCCCACATTAAATATGGCACAAACCAAGTAAATGGAAAATATTACAGCAGAAATGCATTTATATAATGGAGGATTGGTGAAAGAAAAAGACATAGTATAATGGTATCTCCTTTGGCTTCTCAATTAGAATATAAATCGTATATTAGCTGGAACTACCTACATTTTACACCTCTCCCATTTTTGTATTATTTTTAAGAAAAGATGACAACCTACTTAATTTTAACAGTAAAGAGACTGGATTTTTTTTTAAACGGTAAAACTTGACAATTGTACTGGTTACTATACACATTACAGGATACATAAAAAGCTTTGTTTAAGTTATTTACATTAAGTCACATCTTTAAAATTCACCCCAGGAAAGGTTTGGGAGTATGGCCTGCATGCATGACACTTTATACATCCTTACCCTTTGAGTATCATATGAAAAAAAAAAGTATAGATTTCTAAACATACACAAGTTGATCCATCTACAGTAAATGTAAATCATATAGCATCCAATTGTATTAGTCTTCATATGACAATAATCAGATTACAAACAATTTTAATACTGTAGTGTTATAGCATTTATATTCAGAACTCTATTGTGTTGAATATCTATGGAGATTCCCAGTCATCCAGGTCATGGTTGTCCCAAAGGTTTTTTTTTTTTGCAAAAGGCACTGGGCTTTCTTTGTTTTTCTTGAAGATGCATTGTGTTGACTGATTGAAGATACAGTTGGAGATCCGATACAAAAATTGTTAGGGATCATCTCTAATTATTTCAAGGGAGTAAGTCCCACTGAAATCGTATAATGCCATTTATTCCTGAATGAGCAAAGATTACATCATAAAAGTCACGAATCATTAGAATAAATATCCCAGGATAGAAAACCATTCTATGAATATGATCAGAGCATTATTTCATCATGTCATTCTCTTATCTCCTAATTAATTTGATTTGTGATCCTATCTTAGAAAAGACTTTTATTCTGAAATATTAAGAATTGTAAAAAAAGGAACATTGCTAATGAAAGGGAAACAGACCATTCCATATCATACTCTATGCAAATTCTCCTTTTCCATATTACAGAGGTAGACCCTGAACTAAAACTAAAACTAAAACACTAAAACTAAAACTAAAACAACTAAAACTAAAACTAGGTAGCCAGGAGCTTTCCTCAATGGGAAAAACTTTATGGCAGTAAGAATGATGAAAACAGATTTGATGACTATTCCCGCGATGGCGAACCTATGGCACGTGTGCCACAGTTAGCACGCATAGCCATATCGGTTGGCACATGAGCTCAGCTCTGGCACACATGCCCGCACTGGCCAGCTGATTTTTGGGCCTTCTGGGCCCACCAGAAGTTGGCAAACAGGCCATTTCCGGCCTCCGGAGGGCCTCCAGGGAAGTGGGGAAGGCCATTTTTGCCCTCCCCAGGCTCCTAGAAAGGCTCTGGAGCCTGGGGAGGGCGAAGAAACGGACCTACCAGGCCCGCCGTGGCATCACATGCCAAAAGCGAAGGAAGCGCGGGGGGGTCACGCACACATGTGCGGGGGTGGGGCGCATAGAATTATGGATGTGGGCGCATGCGCGCGCAACTCCCCTGTGCTTCCCCCCGCTTTTGGCACGCGATGGCAAAAAGGTTAGCCATCACTGACCTATTCACTGGATTGGCCAGCCTATGTGATTTCCTTCTCTGAGGCATGGAATCTGAAATAAGGTTACTTTAAAATAGAACAGTTTTGTTTTTCAGCACAAAATAGACTGCCTAGGTATGTTAAGCCTTTGGAAGGCTAAAATAATTTCAGTTCACTAACCTTTAAATGTTGGCTTCGTATCCTAAGTCTGCTTTTGGGGATGATCAATAATTCAGCCTCATCGTGTTCTTATTTACAGCCGCTGCAGCAGCTGATATGGCCTATCATCAGATCAGACCTCCAATCGGCTATTCAATTCCCAAGCCTATCTCTTCTTTGTTAATGAGGGGCTGGAATGCATGTCCTGAGGTAAGTAGGTTCCCTCCATGTCTTCTCAAGCAACATTGCCCATAGTTTCTCTCTGGAGGAGAAATGGCAGATCAACGAACCTATTGCTTGTATTTCAGGGTGGTCCAATACTCTACATGTACTTCCTATTTGCTGGGACGCAGGCAGCAGTATCTTATCTTGTGATATATTCTCTAGATCCTAAATTAAAACAGTATGAGCATGTTAGGAGTTAAACTGGGTTTTAGTGGTTCTGGTGACATAATATCCAAAATAAGTCAAGTTGTCATCATTTGCCTTACTGCTAACAGGAAGTGCTGCATGTGGCATTGAAGTGCTGACAACCTTCTCTATCTTATTAAAATAGTTTTTAAACTATTGTGTGGAAGTCTCAGTTGATCAAAGTCGTGATCGGTGGTAGAAGTAAATGTCTATTGGTCTGTCTGGTGATGATCATGGTGTAAGGAAGTTTAAAAATTGAAATGTAAAAAAAAAAATTGAAAGAACATGTGCTAATGAATGAATGAAGTAATAAATAATATAAAATCAATACAAAATAACAGAATAACAGAGTTGGAAGAGTCTTGGAGTTTTTCTAATCTCAAGCAGGAGACCATATTCCATTTCAGACACATGGTTGTCCAATCTCTTAAAAACCTCCAGTGATGGAACACGAACAACTTCTGAAGGCAAGCTGTTCCACTGATTAATTGTTCTGTCACAAAATTTCTCCTTGTTTCTTGGTTGGCTCTCTCCTTGATTAATTCCCATCCATTGCTTCTTGTTCTGCCTTCAGCTGCTTTGAGGAATAGGTTGATCCCCTCTTCTTTGTGGCAGCTCCATAATTATTGGAACATTGTTATCATGTCACCCTTAGCCCTTGTCATAAAACTAGACATTCCTAATTCCTGCAACCATTTTTCATGTTTTAGCCTCCCGTTCCTTAATCACCTTAAGAGAAGAGTTCTCTTCTCTGCACTCTTTCTAAAAACTCAACATCTTGTTAATATGATGGTGACCAAAACTGGATACAATATTCCAAGTGTGGCCTTACCAAGGCATTATAAAGTGGTACTAAATTACAAAAGTGAGAATGGTACAAAATGATATAAAAATGAGAATGATAGAAAGATATTGTAGAATGTTAGAGAGAGAAAGAGAAAATGGCCACAGAGAAAAAGAGCAAATGCCAGTTAGGATTAAAAGAACAGAGAAATTACAGAGCAATTTTAATAGAAATAAAATATATTTTCAAACTAGGAGAATAGTCTGAATAAGGATCCTTTGACAGAATGGATTAAAAATAAAAGTAACGAACTGTTTTGACATGAAACTGGCATGGGGGGATTGGAGACTGTAAAGGTTCGCATGGGAATCAGAGAGATTGTCAAATAATGCAATTGAAATAAACTCTATACCATAAATGACTAAGAAAAAAAATGGATGGAAATAAAATCATAAATGTTATGAGACTATTGAAAAATGCTAAGGCTTGGAGGTATACAGTACATAAGTTGAGAAATGTTAAAAATATGTATATGGTTTGCTTGTGCAATTGCTGTGCATCTTGCTTAATTTGTGTGCGAAGACTGAATCTGCACCTGATAATTGGAAGAACGCCGTTATTCTTCCCTACATCAAGAAAAATGTAAGAAATGCAGTGGAATACTTAGAAATCTGGTACGACAAGGAGTGATGGAGTCAAGCATGGATTATAGATGCTGAATGAATATGAATTGAATGCAGAAGTGAGTGACTAGGAAAAAAGAAGCATCTGGAGTGGTTCGATCACACAGAGTGAATGAATAAGGTTTGAATAGCAAAACAAATATATGATAGAACAAATGTGTTGAGAGGCAGGGAGAGGGAGAAAATAATGGTTGGATAGAATGAATGAGTTCCTTCAAAAATCAAGGTGAGAAATTTAAACAAAAGGAAATGTATAAAGTGGTTATTAGATGTAGTGGAAGCAAGGATTGTTAGCAAGGAGAAAAGCTAAGAAGAAGAATAGTGAATAGTGTTAATGCAGTGACAATTTCCTAATAGTCTCTCATCTATGTACTAAATGAGTCTGCCTCGTTACTTCTCTTGCGCTCAACCTTTGTGTTAACCATATTGTATGATGTGAGGTTATAATCTTCAGCAGAAGATTTTTCAAAATTTTGATTGAAGTTGGAGAGCCAGCTTGGTGTAGTGGCTAAGACAATAATGACTCAAAAATTTGAAAAATGCCTAACTTGAGTCTGCTGGTGTGGGCACCCCCCCCCCCACCCTTCATTCCCCCACTCCCCAACAACAGAGAAACAATTTTCTCTCTCTAGGCCACCCTGAAGAATGATAATCAGTAGCAGGCTGAGCCTCAAATTCAAAAAGGCCAACCCTCACCATTCCCCAAGGAACGCAAGCCTTGGGGAATGGCACAATTGCTGCACACTGGAGGTGGTATTCAGCAAGTTCTGACCAGTTCTGGAGAACTGGTAGCAGAAATTTTGAATAGTTTGGAGAACTGGTAAATATCACCTCTGACTGGCCCCACCTCCATCTATTCTCTGCCTCCAGAATCCCAGCTGATTGGGAGGAAATGGGGATTTTGCAGTAACCTTCCCCTGGAGTGGGGAGGGAATGGAGATTTTACAGTATCCTTCCCCTGCCGCGCCCACCAAGCCACGCCCACCAAGCCATGCCCACAGAACTGGTAGTAAAAATTTTTGAATCCCACCACTGCTGCACACCCCTTACTTTCAGGCACTGTCCTCTCTCTGTTGACAGGCCCTGCAACCTACCTATGGCTGCTCCAACTCACACAAGGTCTTCATTCTGAAATCAGTTTCAGAGAATGCTCCTTGAATGGCCTCTGCAGCCTTGTGAAAGCATGTCCTGTTCTCATGCAATTTTTGGAGGCTAAGGAGGCCACATAAGAGCACGGACCTCTTGTGCAACTTCTGAAGCTTCTCAGCCACAGGAGAGCATATCCCATTCTCACATGGCCTCCACAGCAGAGGTGGGTTTCAGCAGGTTCTCACCAGTTCTGGAGAACCAGTAGCGGAAATTTTGAGTAGTTCTGAGAACCGCCCTCATCTATTCTCTGCCTCCCGACTTGCCCCGCCCCATCTATTCTCTGCCTCCCGAGTCCCAGCTGATTGGGAAGAAATGGGGATTTTGCAGTAACCTTCCCCTGGAGTGGGGAGGGAATGGAGATTTTACAGTAGCCTTCTCTTGGAGTGGGGTGGGAATGGAGATTTTACAATATCCTTCCCCTGCCAGGCCCACCAAGACATGTCACGCCCACCAAGTCACACCCACAGAACCAGTAGTAAAAGTTTTTGAAATCCATCACTGCTCCACAGCCTCCAAAAATTGAATAAGAACAGGATGTGCTTTCAAAAATAGCTGTTGTTGGGTATTGGTAAATACTGGTTGGTCACCCAAAACATCATGATGAGTCACCTTTGACACATGTGTCATAGCTTCACTATCACTGCACAGTTTGGCAATTCGAATCTCACCAGGCTCAAGATTGACTCAGCCTTCCATTCTTCCGAGGCCAGTAAAATGAGGACCCAGATTGTTGGGGGCAACATGCTGATGCTGTAAACCGCTTAAAGAGGGCTGTAAAGCACCATGAAACGGTATATAAGTCTTAAGTGCTATTGCTATTAAGGCATGAGGAGAAAAAACTGAGGACTGAGTTTTAGTCCTGCCTTAGGCATAAAGCCAGCTGGGTGACTTCTGTCCTAGGAAGGAGGCGATGGCAAAACACTTCTGAAAAACCTTCCCAATGTAACTTCAGAGACTTGTCCAGGCAGACTTTGAGAATCAGACACAATTGAATGGAAGAAAAAAATATAGGGCTATAATCTGCAACAGATTTTTCCATATGCTGATAGAAGTTAATTGGCGTTTTTTCCTACATAAAATAGAATATACTGCTACTCCACTGGTCTGTAATAGCCTCTGGCTGCCATCCAACCTCACTCTGAATAACATGGTGTGAAGAAAAAGCTTTCAGGAATTAAAAACTGAGAAAGATAGCTGGAAATTGCCTCATTTCCTTTAAGACATTAATAAAGGAATATATAACATGTTACAAAGTTACATACATTTTTAATTGGTTAAAACAATAAGTTAAGCATTCTATTTCAGAACTGATGTCTGAATACAAATAGCAAATTCACCAAGGGTTGATCTTTTTACAGTAAAATCAGCTTCATTATACAAGAAGGAAGTAGCTGGTAACTCAAGGAAATCCCAACTTTTAAAGAGAACTAAAATCTTAAAGAAAAAACAGAGATTTTTTTTAAAAATTCAAAAATGCATTCTGATAATGTTTACTGAGAAAGACAATAGGAACTTGTTATTTTGGAGCCTTTCTCCTTCTATGACTTCAAAAGCTGCCTTTCAACTAACTGAAGTTTTCTTTGTATGATATAAGAAAAAGCTTCATAGCTCAATTTCTGCATCTCTGTGTATAAAATGCATAAGAAGTCACCATTCTTCATACCTCCTAACCCTCCCACCCTTCAAAGAAGGCAGTTTAGAGCATGGCTGTCAAACTCGAGGCCTGCGGGCCAGATGTGTCATGAGTTGGCCACACCCATGCCCGGTTCAGCGAAGCGGGAAAACATCCCAATACATCATGTGACAATGCCGTGATGACGCGAGTTTGACACCCCTGGTTTAGAGGCTTGAATGGTTTAGCAGGAAATCAGGAAGATTAAGGAAATTGCCAATTTTCTTTTCTTTTCTTTATATTTTGGAAATACTATAGTCATATCCTTCCAATTGCTTCATCTCAGGGGGAGGGAGGGGAGGGAGGGAGGAAGGATAAACCCAGGTTATATCTGGTGTTGCTCAAGAGATTGATCCAATGTTGTTAAAGTGATAGTATAATATTTATTTCTCAAAACCTTAAATTAGTTTAAAGCCTTCGATTGTCAGAAATTGATTATTTCAATACTTTGGTTAAATATTTTCAGATTATGAGGGACAAGAATAGATAGCTCCATCTACTGGTTAATTTTTTTACAGTTTCTCTACAAAACACTACATAATGAGGCATATTCTGTTCTGTTTCCTCCATCTTGCATTTTCACGCTCCTTTTATAATAATTTTAATAATAGAAATGATAAACTATCCAGGAGAAGTCAGTCATCACATCTAGGAAAGTGTTCTCTTTGGGCCACAGGCAACAGAACTAGTCCAAGATACTTTGCTGCTTCAGTTTGCATTTTAATATACTCCACAAACCAAATTTGAATCTTAGGATCCTTTTCTCTCAGCCATGTTCATGTACATTTTTCAAACCCTTGAGTCAGCAGAAAAATATGCTAACAAAATTTGCAGAGCCACAAGGGCCAAGCTGTAATCTGTCCTGCCCTAACAACAAACCAGTTTGAACTAGGGGTTAAGGCACCAGGCTAGAAATCGGGAGACTATGAATTCTAATTCTACTTTAGGCATGAAAGCCAGAGCAGGCTTGTTGTTGTGGGGAAAATAGGAGAAGAAAGGAAAATTGGGTATCTTTGCCATCTTGAAGTATTTACAAAGTAAAGAAAGCAGGAAAAAAAATTCTAAGAACTAAATTTAAAAAAATTAATTTACTGCATGACAATTTAAGGGCAGTGCTTATATTCCCATCCCATCTAATGTCAGCTGGCAGAAAAAAAAAATAACTGCAACCTTGTTTCCTTAAAATGTGATGGGCAGACTTGGGCAAGTGTGGGCAGAGACTGGAGGCTTCAGCTACTTGTCAAATGACCTGATCACCAAATGCTCTGTCTGGTGACTTCTCACTTCTGAATATGGGTCTACTTCTCTTCTAGAAGGCCAATAGATCTCTATTCCAAAAAGCCCAGCTGACTGGTCAGTGGACAGAGGAATAATGCAAGAGGAAACATGAAAAACTCTCAAAGTGCATTGAATGGACTCCTTCCAGCTCCACCTCAAGCCACCCTCCTGTTTTATCCCACCTATCCTGAGATATTTTTGCATAGAGATTTACTGGGATTGGTGCCAAAGTTGGGAGGTTTGGTGCAGTGGTGGGTTGCCCCTGGTTTGCACCAGTTCTATAGAACTGGTAGTAAAACTGGTGGGAGGCTCCGCCCACTGACCCTGACATCATCAAAACACTTTTGTGCATGCGCAGAAAAGTGCGCGTGAGCAAAGCGAGCACATGCGCGCAGCCCTGCTGCAAACTGGTAGTAAAGGTAAGTAGAACCCACCCCCGGTTTGGTGGCCTTCCTGTCACTTGGGCTAGAAGAGGAGCCTGGGAAGGAGCACTTCTCAGTCTGCTCCCAACTCCCAAATATCCTTAAACTAGATAAATTCTGATAATGAGTATTTGCAGATAGCAGCATCTACAAATAATCCATACTATATGCAAAATTGCAATAGGGTGGACAAAATGGTAGTGCTTCCCTCTTAAAGTAATAATAATCGAACAATAGAAAGAGAAACAAAACAAAAAACTTTGTAGAAGCAGCAGCATAACATCTTTAATGCATTAATTTGGGCTTAAGAACCAGCAATACATGAAATACATTTCTTTCCCCCTTTAAGTTGATTAGTAGTGCCCCATCACCACCATTATCCTCCCCTCCCTTTACTTATGGCTTACTTGTCTACTGAACAACATGTTGAATATTAGACCTCATGATCTTCCAGAATACCAATGTGTGTAGTATATATCAGAAATCTTGGTATTGCCTGAATTATGCCTTGTGAAGTGTACCTGGGCTGCTCCATTCACATAAACAAGGTGTCCAATTTCTCCTTCAGCCCCAGCCAAAAAAAGCCATGAAGAGCAGTGGTGAGTGACTGGAGGAGAGGGGAGGAGAGCTTCAGTCTGCCAATACAAGTTCAGCAGATAGCAGATCTCAATTTCATTGTCATCATGAGATTATGCATGAGGTGACATAGATTTTATGCGTACCAACCCTTGTCTCAAGAAAGATGGAAATGTCTAATTTAAAACTGGAACAGCTAAGGGTGCATTAGATTCCCTCGCAGAATGATTCTGCTGGCTGGAAAATAAAGAGGATTTTTTAAAAAAATCTTCCCAATAGAAGAGCCTGTTGGATTGAACTGAGGATGTATTTATTTTGAATAATGGAATGGGAGATGAACAAGAACTGTGTTCAGGTGCAAGGGAGAAATATATCTATGGCATAGAGGGATGTGCGGTGCATGAGATTTTGAAATGTACAGGTCTCTCTGTATTGTGCATAGTAGTGTATGCTGTTCCTGAAATTATAAACAGCTCTAGTTTTCATTGCTCCAAATGTTGTTTGTCCTTAATGAAGGGATGTCTCTGATGTGTCCTGAAGACACAGGCTCAATCATCTCTACCTTCCTAATCTCAGCTAAACTGGTTTCAGAAGCATTGCTAACCTTTCAAATCCACAGTGGAAGGCAAGTTAAGAAACTATTCACTTTCTTCCTACCGCCATTCTATATAACTGGAGAAGATACAACTTCCCTTATTCTTATACTTATTCCACTTCCTCATGGTACTGACCAACCAGTCTATCTTCAAAGTAGCAGATAGGCTTCCTTTTCTCCCCTATTCTGTCACAGAAGGTTGGAGGTTGCTACTGGCCAAGTCTTCGCATTCTCTGGAACCACTGTTAAATGCTTTCAAAATTGTAGCAGTACCCTGAGATTCATAGTGAAAATGTTCTAAGCATTTCATGATACTTTTTTCTCCCTGAAGACTTACCTCTTTGCTGCTTTCTTAAATGGTTCAACATAACATTGTGTGTTCTGTTACCAAACAATACAATCACAACTGAGTTTGAAAAAAAAATAGAACAACAAAGAAAACAGTGCAACGAGCCTCTAAATTATGCAGATACCTGAGTTAACTGATGATGACTTTTTTTCAAAGGAGAGAAAACAGCCAACTTCAATACAGAGGTTTTCATTATTGTATAGTGTACATAAAATCACATATATTATTAAGAGGAACCATGTCACTTCCTTCATTTTGCAGAGTATTTTTTAATGTTTGAAATTTTGATGGAGAAATATAGTATCCCAAAACAGGACATATAACTGTCTTCTTAACAGATTCTTTTGCAGATTTTTGCTGTGAATCTGTGGGTGGCTCAGTGAGGGGGGGGGAAAGCATTTCTAACATCTTTTTCAGGTATAGCATTTAGAAACAATCTAAACTCTCCAACAACAATGTTTCCTTGAAGAAAGCAGAGAATTTGAATTCCCAAATCCGAATAGCTCTCCCATTTTTGCATGAGTTGGACTAGACCTGCATTAGATTTCAGCATTCTACTTTAAATAAAGATCAGTTAACATTCAAATTACCTCTGTCAGTCCTATATAATCTGATATTTTCATATATTATCTGATGATTTGAACATTTAAAAATAAATATTTTGTGTCTTATCACCCCTAATTTATGGCCACAGTTCTAAAACTTACTGCACATCACTTCATTTTCAATTCTGGTCTGACTTTTACCAGCTCTTTGTTTTCCATAAAATATTGCACTAACATTTGAAATTTCCGATCCAGTAAGCATGGATTTTCATACTGAAAGGTGGTTTTGTCTTTGAAGAGGACTAAGGAAGAATGCAAGTGTTATGAAAGGTTTGCTTTGCTTTGTTCCATTTGCAAAGGAAATTCTTCTTTATAATCAATAGATGTGGGAGACGGTGTAGGCATGGGAACTGAGATTTCTGCTTTATTTATATTGCAGGAAAGTGAAGATGTCTCAGTTCGTTGCTCATAATTGACGTCTTTAAACTCTGCTAACAAAGGAGGCTCTTGATGTGTAGCTAGTGGCGTTTTACCTTCTTTATGTTTTGTGCTGTCTTCATCAAATGGATTATCCAGATTTTTTTGCAAATTGTGGTCATTATCCATATGCACATTATGATTCTTTTGAGGATCCATGTTTCTATTTAGATATAGGCTTCCATTTTCAGAAGAACTCGGGATGCTGAATGTATTAGTGATAATGGCCATCTTGACAATATTTTTATGCAGTGCATTGGATTTGTTATTGTCCCATTCATCCCCAGATTGTGCTGCTTCTTCTTTCAGACCTGGTGAGTCCAATGGTATATTTGGAATCAACTCACTGTTGCTTTCTGTTTTAAAATCTGGTCTCAGTTGCTGTGTTAAGGTTTCATCTTCCTCTCGGTTGTTAATTTGTAGTTCTTCTTTCAGGGCTTGACAATCAGGCAACGTGCTACTCAAGTGAAATGGTGGTAGGAGTCTATCTGTTTCCTTTTTTGAAATAATCTGGTATGTGTTCAATATTTCCATTACATTTTGAGACTCCGTACTGGATAGATTTTCTTGCACAGATTCAGATTCACTAACCTTTTCCTGCCCTTCCAGTTCATCTTTCCTGATGAAATTTCTATTCTGCCCTTTTAAAGGTTGGTCTCTGAAGTGATCTATACCCACACTATGCATTTTATTTTCCATTATTTGCTGAGAGTGCATATAATCTCCATTGCTGGGTTTCTGAAAGTCAAGGCCATCTCCTTGCCTAAAAGGAGCTGAAGAAAGGCAATGGTGTTTTTCTTTTGATTCCTTTTGCAGAGAATTCTGATGAAAGGACAAGACTTCAGCATCTGAAGTGCCCCTCTTAAGCTTTTTAGAATGCAATAATGTAGGTATATTATTTGTTACATTTGGTGCAATATTTGGTGAGTGGCCAGATGAAGGGGAGATAATGGGAACAGTCCTTCTTGAAGTTTTATTTACTGAGAATGTAGGTGAAGCACTTGGAGGTTTTAAATGCTTGGTTGATGAGGAAGCCTTGATAATATTCAAGGCAGGCATATTGTGAAAAGAAGCAGAAGTGGGTATTTCTGCATCCTTGCCATTTTCTTCAGGCACTTCCTCAACCGCTGCTTTGTTAGAAATACCATTTTTGCCCTTTTCTGACCTCTCTTGAGTTGAATGTTCTGGATTCTTTTTTCTTTTCCCCTTTTTCTCTTCCATCTGGGAAGTAGGTAGCAGTCTCATGGGTTGACAGCGTAAAGGTTGCTCTAAGCTTTTTTGATGGTGAAGTTCCTTCGGCTGGATTTTTCCTTTCCTGAAAAGATGTAAATTTAATTGCACAGTTAATGAATTTGGGCTTTTCGTGTTTATTTTATACCTTTGAATCGGTTCATTCTCTTTTTCCCTACGAGGATCCACGAGAAGGAAAGAAGATGGATGCCTTTCTTTAATTTTTGCTTCTGAATCACTAAGCAATTGTGCCCAACTAGGAGATTGGTTTCCTTGAGTCTGCTCATGCCATTGTTTGTTCTGAGGAAATCCTTTTCCGCTTAAATCACTAGTTGTCCCATTTGCCCTTTTTATGGTTGCCAGTTCAGGTGTGTAAAAACTAACCTGCTTGGGTTTCTTGGTTTTCTTGATTGCTGGTGATAAAGGGATATTTTCAGCATTCATACGGCAGCCAGCTGATCTTGTGCCCTTATCTTCACTCTCTTCTGCCTCCAATCTTATGGTTTTGCCATGGTTCTCTTCCATTACTTTTGGGCAATTTTGATTTTTATCACAGTATATGCATTTAGAGATAAGGAAGTGGTCTAGTTGTGGAGAAATATTCCTGCTCCTTGCTAAGAATTCACATTGTGATCTCTGGTGTTCTAATGCCGCTTGCACACAGTGTTCCTTGGACTCTTCTGTTGTCGATGACAAGGCTGTAATTAGGTGCCTTTGCTTGTAAGGCTTGAAGCAGTCATCACACTCAGTCTGAGAAAGAGACTGACACAACTCATTTGCTAAATGTTCCCCAAGCTTCTCCGGTACCAAAGCACAGACAGGCTTTGAACGTCCTCCTTGCCGTGTGTCACTTCTGATTCCTGCTAAATAGCAAATGTTGAAACTTAACACATGTAGAGGGAGTTTTCATATACTGATTAAGCAGATGTTTGGAACACCTTCAACACTGATGCCCGCCCCCACAAAAGTATCTTCTCTGGAGCAACTGGCTCATTTCTCTCTTCCTCTGCAAAATATAATCAACTGAAGAAGTGCTGTCTTTAACATTCATTCAGAGGGAACATTTCTTTAACATCTGAAATGAATGCTTGGAATTTTTAAAAAATTGACTTTGACCAGAAGTAATTATCATGTATACCAGGGTTCAACAACTCCTGGCCACAGCCCACTACCAGACCTTAAGCATTTTGGAACCGGGACACAGAAGTGGTAGGCGAGCATGTGCATGCATGCACATCCCCACTCGTGCAAGCACACACACACACGTTCCCCTCGTGCAAGCAGCAGGCAAGCAAAGGTGCATGGGCTCTATTTACATGAGAGAGGGGTAGAGCAACCACCTCTTGCACAAATGGAGCTGTGCCCATGTGCATGCACTTATCTGCCATGCATGCAGATCCATCCCCTCTCTGCCCCCCCAACCCCCCGCCAGTCCAAAAAGCCGAAAAGGGGAACTGTAATGTATAGGCTATGTAAGATAACAATATGATAACTTCTGGATAGAAAAGATGTACCCAGTTTGTTGTTATTTGTTGAATACTATGATGGTGAAAGTCAAATAAGTCTGTGAACTGTCCGTTCTCCACTCTATTTTCCTGCCCACCATGTAATGTAGTTTTCTTCTCTTCTATATCTCTGAGCTTTTTTCTCTCCCTTCCTCCCTTTTTCTTACTTCAACCAACCATGTCTAAATTTTCATTGTTCCCTTTTTATACCAATTTGTGCCAGCGATTTATTGAGTTTTGTCCTTCCCATTCCCTATTTATTTATTCATTTTATTAAATTCGTTTACCACTCATCTCACTGCAAAATGACTCAATTACCAGTCATCACCTTCATGGATATGATTGAGAGCTATTACCCCCCTCCCCAAATTGAATGTGCTTTTCTTCCTTCCTCTGACGTCATCTCAAACTTTCTGTGCCAGGAAGCTGCCCTTTTCATGAAACTACCACCATCTTTGTGCTATTGTTATCAGAGATCCAAAATCAAAGAAAATGGCTGAATTTGTATATTATATGTATCTACTGTATTCCACATCTCTGTAGTAACCTTCATTTTGTATCTGTGTAGCTACTAACAATGTATTTAGTCCCACATATCGAAACCATTGTTCTGTTGCAGGTAGGCTATCTTGGCATGGGATTTAATTACATTTCTGATTAACTTCTCTTGCTCAAACATTCTTGGATCCAGGAGCCATAGACTCCAGTTTCATTTTTATGTTGCAATATGTTATGTCAAGGATATCAGCTAAAACAATATTCAGGGAAGGAATTTTTTTTTTTTTCATTTTCTCTTTCTGGAAGATTACTTACCTTGATTGAAAGTCGTATCATCTTTTAATCTTGCATTTAATGATTGCCCAGAGTTTTCTAAATGTTGAGTTCTTTGGAAATATTTTTGCAGTGCTAACTCTGTTTCATGAGGTACTTCTATATTCTGGGAAGCTTCTTGAGGGAAAGATTGAAGCAGTTTACATTTAAAGCATAAGAAATGCTTGTTTTCCGTTGGTTCATTCTTACTTTGAATGCTTCCAAATGGGGTTTTTGGGCCTGCACACTTACACTCTGGCTCTATTGTTTCTTGACAACTATTTTTCTGTAAATATGGCATTTCCTCACCAGCACCCAACCTCGACATAACTTTTATTTCATTTTCCCAAGTTAAGTGGCAGTTACAGTATCTCTTAGTGAGGTAATTTCTTGGCTCATGATCACATTGAGATCCGTCTAGGACTCGGCAACAGCAATTTTCTGATGGGCATCCATTTACTGTGTCAGACTGAAGTTTCCTGTTAAAGAAGGCTAAAGCTAGGCAAGTGAGGCCAGCACCTCCTGTAACAAATAGAAAGTTTATCAAGATATTACAGTAAGAGAAGTAAAAGTGTTCATATTAGACATTGAAATACAGATGTAATAAAACAACATAACTCCCGCAATATGAGATTATTGAATGTAGCAGAAGAGGAGAGTTGCATAGGGAATCAATTAAATCCCCTCATATTTTTATGTCTATATATGTCAATGATTTTGCATAGAATATTTTTTAAGAATTAAATGAAATATATAATGCATAAAGCTACATGGCGATGGAACAGTCTCCCACCCTGCTAATTTTATACACATTTTTGAAGCATTCCAATTAATTTAAGCTTATGTATAGATTCCAGTAATGTACAAGTAAGATTGCAAAGTAAATAATACAAGGAAAAAGGAGGAAAACCCAGGATGAGTTTAAGTGTCTATGGAACCTCAGCATTTTTATGTACATAGACGGTTTGCTATTTCAAATAAAGAGCTACTAAACTAACACTTTTGTTTGACTCCAGAAGGGAGAAAAATATCATTTATCAATTCTTTCGGCATCCTCATAGCTTTTATTTTTATCTTGGCCGTCTCTCTTCCACACGCAATGTGTGCTTAATATTTCTTAGTTTGTGAAATGAAATAAGATCAGAGCCTAAGATGGTATAGCTTCAGGCAATGATATAACTTCAGGCAAGCATTTCGATTCCAAAATATAGATATATTTTTAGCAGGTTTTTTTTAAGGATAGAGATTATTGTATTGTCAGCTGAGCAGTGCTGAGGGTCATATCCAAGAAGCAACTAATCCACCATTCCAAAATAATGAAATATATCCTATACCAGGCGTAGGAGAGGACACTGCTCGATAAGCATGTGAGCGTTGATTCCTGTAGCATGTTGGAAACCAACCATTACAAATATCTTGTTCAGACAAGTAGACTACAACTATAACGTGAACAGTGTAACACAAGATCAGATTGTGAACGCTTCTGCTCAGTTTATGAAATGAGAATTTGTAATTCAGAAGAGCAGCAAAACAAATCCACTGTGCTGACTTCATCAAAATAAGTTGCTGTGAACACACATATATATTTACTGGGCCCCCAACAACATTTTAACAATAATTAATTTGTATGGAGCTTTTTCAGTTGACATTTGGAAACCTCTTAAAATAAACAGCACCAGTAGGATACAAATACTCCTTACAATGGGAAAACGGAAATATTGACTGGGAGAGAATCTACACAAAATAAACCAAAGTTGGTTGCAGACAGCTTGTTGCCTCAGCAGCAATGCCTCAGGTGAGGGGGATGATTTCAAAAAAGTCAAAATGGCAAGGCTGGCTTCACAGTCAAAGGCAAAAGCTGACATATTGCAAAATGGCAGACTCCAGGATCATCTATCTCTCTATGGGCCAAAATGGGCCTCCTAAACCTTCTTGGACAATACAATTATGGCCAATTGCAGCAGAGTGCTTTTTTATATAGGTATCTCTATAAAAATAGAAAAAGGAAGCAAAAAGAAGCAAACATAATTTAGAGCACTCTATGCAAGAGGGAACTCTAGAAGTGGCAGCTAGTTTTCTAGCAAATTCATGTTATGAGATTAATTATTCTCCACAACCCTGAACCGCCATTTTCTAAATGGCCAAACTGCTTTTGGCAGTTGTGGTCACAACACATCTGAATGAAAATCAGGTTAGGGAAGATTGATCATTGTCAGATTTTATGTCTGGCTCTGTGATTTTTTTCTTACTTCATAAACAGTGAAGAATGCCAATACAAACGGGTGGGATTCAACCGGTTCGGACCAGTTCGGGCAAACCGGTTGTTATGATTTTGCGCAGTTCGGAGCACCAGCAAATCACACCATCAGCTGGCCCCGTCTTGCCATGAGTGACGTCAAGTTGGCCATGCCCTCCCAGTCACATGACCACCAAGCCACGCCCACCAAGCCATGCCCACAGAACCGGTTGTTAAAAAATTTCAATCCCTGAAATATCCCTGAATATAAACATAAAACAAACTAGGGACTGAGTAAGCAACACTTTGTTAAGAGAATCATTACCTACAAAGGAGAAGAGTGCTACCAATGCAATGTCTCGCCCATATTTCTTTTTCCCTTTTTTTAAAATTCTGGATGGTTGCTTCAGTGCAGACTTACAGTTGATCTTTGTGAGTTGAAGCAGATTTGTTACCGATGGGTTTTCAGAAGCTGTGCAGTTCATATTTTCAGGATTTCTGAGTATTTTTGATGAATTCACATATTGCCTTAGAAAGGAAGCTAAATCATAAAGTTTGCATGTGCAGTTCCACCAATTCTGGTCCAGGCTAAGAAGTTTTAATTGACCAAGTGGAGAAAATGTGTCAGGGATAAGAGCTAGCCTGTTTCTAGAAAGGTCTATTTCTATCAGCTGAGGCAGGCCATGGAAGGCTCTCTTTGCAATAGAGTTAATGAAATTGTTTGATAGATCCAGGATTCTGAGGTTGCCAAGATTTGCCATCTCAAAGCTGTCAGCATTGATGCTGGTAAGCTGATTTCCATTTAAATGGAGTCTAATAAGAGCCTTCATGTTCTTGAACCAGGTGCCATAAATGGTACTTAAAACGTTGTTGCTGAGCACCAGCACCTGAAGCTTCTGAAGTTCATGAAACGTGCTGTATGTGATAGAAAAGCTTGATATTTGGTTCTGGTCCAGCAGCAAAGTCTTCAGTGTTCTAAGTCCAAGGAAGGCATCATCATTAAATGCTTTAATCCCATTAGTACTGAGGCTTAGGAAAGTTGCATTAAGTAGGAAAGAGAGGTTAAACCCTTCTACTGAAGTGATACTTCCATCAGTAATAATCAAAGCTTGGGTAGATACAGGAGCAGCTATGAGAAAAGAAGAAAAGTATAATTATATTTCTATATTTGTACAAATATGTAATTCACATCCTCTGCTTTAATACTAGTCATGTCTTGCAGGTTAAAGGAAGATGAGGAAAAGTAATAGCAGAACTGAGAAGTAAAAAAATATGGAATTTAAGCTTTAAGTCAGGTTTGGAATAATTTTTGAATAAATACCCACTTCACCATATACAAATGAGCAAGATGGTCAAATAAGTTCCTATCAACATTCAGTATGTTATTATGTCATAATTATAAAATGCTGTATTTTTAAAACATGATATTTCTAGACCTTATGTCTTTTTTGGAAATGCAATATAAAAATATAAAAAAAAATACCCCAAACTAAAGGATTAGTAAAGTCAAGTCCAAAATTTATATTTGCTATGTAATTTGAACACTTTATGGAGGCTAATAAAACACAGTAAAATAGATCACATAAATAATCATTTTTTCAAATCAAATAACAATTTTATAATCCCTTTTCACCTTATTTTAAAAAAGGGAAAATGAAAGGAAATGTATAGTTATAATCCGCAACTCATGGGTAGAAAAATTGACATCGAGACAACTAGGGAAGCTGTTCCGATGATGAATGAAAGATTATTTATAATGTACCCAAATCAACAAGAAATAATAATACATTTCAGTGAACATTTGAAAAGACCTTACTGAAATGAACGCTACTAGTGAGGTGACATTATAGAGGGGTTTGGATCATAAAGGAAGAGCCTCGCTAAATAATAACATTGTATATTCAGTGTGTTTGGAATTGCTATCTGAATTTCAACTATTTGCGGAAAAGCAGTATTTTCATCTGTGTTGAAAATATTGACATAGAACTAGTTCAAATTAGAATCTATTTTCAGTTTTACAGTCTTATACCAAATGTTTACATTGGGAATGAGAGTTGTGATGTGTAGATATTAGAAAAGTGGAATTTTTTTCATAAATAATGTTTCCACTATCCAGTTATGGAGACAGATGTTTAAAATCAGGGTATTGCACAGGCTTATTTCTTGTTAATGATTTTATTGTGCATCTAACATTACTGGCAGAGCATTTGAGAACATATTCTGGATGTATATCCTTTATAAGATCCCCATTTCCCCTTAAGGTGAGATTATAATTGACCTCAGTATTTCATGGAAAGGGGTGAGTGATGAGTCTTATTCTTTCTTGTATCTTTGGCTTATACAACCTATTACAAGCAGAAAGGTATTATGGACATAATATCTAGAATGCCTTATGATCTTTCAGTTTGGCTGTGGAATGAATTTGGCAGAGGAGGCCTTTGTTGCCTTCATGAGTTGATTACACAGTTCTAGACTTTCCCAATAAATAAATGGCAGGCCAAAAAGTGCATTGCTGACAAAGTCTTCCAGGATAATACTGCCTTCATGCAGGCAGATATATTTCCAAACCCATGGGAAAATTGTGTAATAAAATATCCCATAACATTACCATAATACATCCAGGGCAGACAAACATGATGGCTAGAGTAGACCAATTTCTTAATCAGTGCAGCCTGACTCTGCTATGCCAATGGCAAGTCTTCATTCGACCTCTGAATAACATAATCAATCTTTCCTTTCAGGATTGAGCCACCACCAGTCCTCTTTTGGCTTCCTAGTTGTTCAGACCCTGCCTTAGATTCATCAAAACCTTCGTGCAACATTCATTCTTTACCCATGAATTCATAATTTCTTTCACTGTGTTCCGACATGACCTATTTGTTCAGAAAACAGAAAACCATCTGTTCCACCAGGCATCACAAGTTAATGCATTCCTTATTACAATCATTTGGCGGAGGAGGTGACATGACGGGCTGTAATATTTTAAAAAGTCCCCCCTTTCTTGCGGATGTGAGAAACCATCAATGCTTTCATTCAAGCATAGGACAAGCAAGCACCATACAAGCTTCCCACATGCTGTTCGATGACCCCACCTCGATCCTGACATAAAGCTCTCAAGCATTCCCAGAAAGGCGCCTCTCCTGTGTAGCAATGGCATTTGAGGTCCCCCACCAATTTACTGCTGTTAATGTTTATCTGTGCTAGGAGGTCATGTGCTGTTTTCCCTTTACAATATGGATTTTATTGTCTCAGGTAAAAAGTAATAAACTTGACGGAGGGCTAGGCATGCTGTTCGCTTATTGATGCCTTGAAGGATTTCCCCTGGGTTTCTCATTAATGCATTAGAGAATGGCTCCTTGCTGAGATGTGTATTGCTTTCAATCATGTCCTCTGGAGGATAGATTAGCCGAGTTTTAGCCTGCGTATCACACAAGCGCAAGCATGATGGATGGATGACTAGAATGCTACTGTTGAATGAGTAACCATTTTAGCAAGCCAAACAGTGGTTTTTACAGTGAGTTAACAGCACTGTTTTTTGTGATGTCCCTTTATCATATAACCAAGTTTGGACTCTGAAATCTACAGGAGCATGAAGGAAACTTGGAGTAAAATTAAGCCTCTCTTACATCTGCCAATTGTTTCTTAGAACAGATAAGGTGAGCCTCTTTTCCACAATTCAAGTATTACAGGCTTTAAAGAAACAGAATTCTTTAATGCTATAGAAGTATTAGCAGAACACATGGCTGACTGAAAATGAAAATAATTTGATTGATTGTTGATGCAAGACCTTGAATTCCAGCATGTTGGTGAATTAGGCTGCAAGACTTGATTACAGTATTTGCTAGATGAATAGTGTTACCTAATATAATACACAGTCCAGTCACAAAGCTTAAAGCAAAGCCTTTAGACAAAAGACTAATTAAATAACAGCTATTAGTTATTACTAATTAACTATTATTTGTGACAAAAGCATTGTACAAGCAATCGAACTACATAAGAAACCAAGCTACACAATGCAGCTGATTGTTCATTTAAATAAGCCCTCTGAAATCATCCACAGAATGTGACTAATACTGTCTCAGTACTATAGTCCATCCTCAATCCTGATTTAAAAAATGGTCCAGATAATCCATTTCATCCCAGGCCCTCTGTAGCTCACCACCCTCTTGATCTAGTAGTTGTCTGAATTCTTTTTGCAGCCAAGTATGATACACCTACCCATCCAACAACTTGTGGAACAGAACTTGGAAATAGTAAAAGGACACGCAGGAGCAAACCTCACCAGGGTGGCCTCCAAGGGGAGTGCATGGCGGTGAGATAAACAATTCTAACAAGAAGCAAAAGAAGCCTGTGTTAAAGATGGAATATTAAAGTCCTGTATTAAAGATGGGATAATATGTTGTGTGTGTTGTGTGTGCATTATTAAAGATGGGATAAAGAAAATGTAAGTTGGCTGGGTTGGGAGAGTCTGTTTACATATTGTGAGTGTATATCTATTTGTTATAGTCTTGGTTTTTTTTAAGTAGAATGAATCACTCCTTTTACAGTATATTCCTCTTTCTTTTGCCATGTCTTCCTTTCTTATATTATTTGGTGTGTCTGTTTCATATTTTATTGTATCTAGTCTATTTATTATCTGACCTTTCATTCTGACCCAACCTTGCTCTACGTTCTGAATAGCATTCTCCATCTTGCAATTGTTCTTAGTCTTGAACCATATCTCTATTCCTAGCATTTTGTTCAGCACAGTTCTGCATGATGCTGTTCACTTTTTGCAGACATATACATATTCTGTTGTGAAAGATGTGCATAATCGTTGGGGTGGTGATGTCAATTCATGTTATGTTGACTCTGGTAATAGCCTAGACATGCCCCTTACAGTTTTTTTCTCAATGTTTTTTGCAATGATTTGCCATTACCTGCTTCTTAGGGCTGACAGAGAGTGATTGGCCCAAGGTCACTCAGCTAGTTTGTGTGCCTTTGGTGGGTCTCGAATTCATAGTCTTCCAGTTCCTAGTCAGGTGCCTTAACCATTAGACTGGCTGTATTGTCAAGTTGACTGTACTATTTAGCTATCAAGTGTAATCTAGAAGTTATTCCTATTACACTCAGAAAGTTTTCTAGCAATCTCTGATTTTATGAAGCAATCCTAGAGGAAAGAAGCAATAACAATTTTGCATGCTTCTTGGCATGACCAATCAAGATGATATAGAATACTTTCAGCATTGCTTTGAATTGCCTTTCAAGCACAATCTTGAATGAGAACTCACAAATGTTAAGAGCAGGTAAAGAAAAATTTTACATTATTCCCTGGAAACCAGTGACTTTCACACAGCTTTCAATTACAGTGTGGTTTAATTAAATTGGTATAAATTCTTCCACGTACAACTTTCAAAGTCAGGGAATTCATCTTAGGAAGTGCAAGTTTAATTTGTATTGATTTTGATTAGCGCTTAAAATCATTGGGTCCTTCCATCTTCACAGCCAAATTAGCTTTTCATTAAGACTAAAGCAAGCACAATGGCGGCCATGGGTAAGGCCTTGTCTCATATAAGTGTTCCTTGAATGCTTAACATGCTTAAAGGAGATTTGTTTCTATTTCAAGAAATTAACATGCCAATGGCCCCCTAGGCCATTGATTACTGCCCTGCTAATTCTACAAATGTATAGAATGACTGAAGTAGAAAATGTGATCTTATAGAGCAAGTAAATCTTTACAGACACAACTGTCTCTGCCTCTTTGTGGTCCTAATATTAGAGATTTGTCATAAAGTATTAGATATAAAACAAACTTGTATAAGAATTTTTTAATAAAAGGGGCTTTCTGTGCAAGACCTCAGTTATTCTGATCAATTCATAGACTGGCTTGAAAACCTGCATATTTTTTCTTAGTGCTTTTCTAGTGAAATGATCCCTTTTAATGGATTCCATCTTAAAGGACATGTATTGAATATATTTTGTACAAATTGTACACTTATGCGCTTTGCTTGGAGGACCTAAAGAAGAATGTAAATTATACCTGACCAGCATTGTTGCCTTGGCTTATTGAATCATTTATAAGGATTGTTCATCTGTGCCCATTAACACCGAATGTTTTTATAATCAATATGCCTGGTTCCTTCATGTTTCTGGCTTTCAGATGTCAACATGATCTGAATGCCATATAAACCTTGAATTAGTTATCTGTCTAACAGACAACTTACATTCCTTCCTGGATAACATTTGATTCTGATAGATCCCATATACAAAAATTTCAAAGATGCCCAGTATTTGACTGCATTGTCCCTTCTACAATGAATGCACTTTTGCCATTGGAGGTTTGTCACAACATCCTCATCATTCCAATCTACATAATGTCAACAGCACTTCTCCAGTCCTCAGTTATGATCTTATTTTGATGTTTCTTTTTTCCCTGTTTCTCCTAAAAGCTTTACCATTTCATTTAAAAAGAGGACATTTTCCCCAAAGGCTAATCTTTGCATGGCCAATGATCAATTCTCCTCTTCTTAGGAGAGGGCCTAATCTCAAATATGAGGAGGAGGAGGAGGAAGAAGAGCTAATGATATGTGGATCCTACCATTGCCATGTCCAGGATCTTGCTTATATTTTCTATGGCATATTTGATGAGGTGGTTGTTAAATTGTTAGTAAAGTAACAAAGAATTACCATTCTATATCTGCTTGCTGCAATCTAGTGGTCATCTGGTTTTTTTGCAGCCCACATTTGACATGCTTAATTTATAATCTATCTTTTTTTTTCCTTGCATACAAACTTACTGAGAAGCACTTTTGCATACAAAGATGCAGTGCTATCCTTTTTTATGTTTTTCTTTATGATCACTTTGCAGTGCTATTTTAATTCTTGGATTTTGGGTCAAGCACCTGATCTTTCTGCAGGAAGCGGGAGCTCCAAAACACACAGCTATGATAGACCTGTGGATAAGAAAATTAAGACAATATGGACCAACAAATATAGTGACAGCAAACCCTGAGGGAAATAGCTGATCAAAATAAAAGCAAAAAATCAGGATGCTCAGGAGCAAATCTAACGGAATGTTCCTCTTTTGTCCCTTTGCTGAATCACTTGTTGGGAAGATCAGTGTTTTACTGTGAAAAGGCACTTTCATTGGCAACTTTATAATGAAAAGGAGGGACCAAATAGAGCATTACAGAATTCTGGATATTACTAAGTTCATATTTAACATCATTATAGACAAAAAGAGAGCACTATGACCTTCTTGAGTGCTCTGTGGACAGAGAGGGGGGAAATTTAAACAATAAAAATAAATACATAATGAGAAGGCATTATTAATTCACTACTACTTTAACCACTATTGAGCTACATTTTTTTTCCTGCTAATTCCCCCCACCACCACCCCGCCACTAAGAATGAGTACACAAACCAAACCCTACTTTAAATTTGTTAATCAGGTGTCTGATTAAATTGTTGACTTAGGCAAGCAATAGTAATGAACACAGCCACTGTATCTTGTTAGCATTTCTACAGATCATTTAGCATCAAGAGGTGGGAGGAGAAGAGAAAAGACATTCTTTCAGAATTATAATGCACTTTATGATGCTAATCTGTATCAGTGCTACATCACTTAATCTTGCTAATGCTGAAAGATTCCTTGGCGGGGTTAGAAGGCAATTGATAGCTCATTCAGCCAGCGGACAGCTTGAACTTTGCACAAAATGTGGACAAAACTTATTAAAATGATCTATTTTGTTTTTCTTAAAGCGTTTGGCTGAGTGAAATGACTGTTCTCGGTAACAAAGGTTTTCAATTACCTCTGAAGGGCTTGGAATAGTTTGGATAAGGCCCCAAGGCAAAGAGAAATGAAACAATGCTATCACTCTTCAGTCAAAATGTGAAAGGCTAGCTCTCCGAAAATTTACCTCTCAGCAGCAGGCATAAGAAGCAGTCAATACAATTACAGCCGGGCTGGGTGAACTTACAGTACAGAATAAATATGAGTTCTCTTTAAAGTGTCTGACTTGGTTACCTAGTATATATGTTAACCCTTGGCACAGAGTAACTTCTTCAGAGCATACCATGCATGAAGAGGGGCACGGCGCTATTAAGTGAAATAGCATAGCAAGCAGAATGAGCAGGGCACCTAGAAGGGAAACAGAAAGAACAAATAAATATATTGTGGGGCCTGACATTTTTATTATTCTGATCATTATATCCCTGCAGCTCTACAATGAAAATTAATCACAGCGGTTTTTTTAAAAAGTCCCTTTAAAAAAAGTAGATGTTAGTCAGTTCAGCTGGGTAAACGAGACTATATGTTTCCATTTGGAATATCTTAAATGACAACCAGACTAGACAACAGAAAACAGAGTCAAATTCTAGACATGAATCTATCAGATTTCCATTTATGTGAGCTTTGAACTATGAATATGTGAAACATTCTTTCACTTACAGTTAGATATCCACCTATTTGGCATTAAGAGAAGCAATATATGATGGTTAAAGTATGCTGTTCTTTTTTTTCCCCCTTCACTGAAAAAAGCTTTGGGAGCTGAAAAAAAGCATTTAATAAAGCATATTTTATTTATTTTAAATTCTTTTTATTTATTAAATTTATGTGCCACTTATCACATGTCTAAGCGACTCTAGGTGGTTTTAACATTCATTAAACGCGGCCGCGCGGGGGATTATGGGGGCGACGAGGCGCTCCCATGTGACACCTCTCCTGCGCGAGCTGCACTGGCTCCCGGTGGTCTTCCAGATGCGCTTCAAGGTGTTGGTGACCACCTTTAAAGCGCTCCATGGCTTAGGGCCGGGGTACTTACGAGACCGCCTTCTGCCACCAATAGCCTCCCACCGGCCAGTACGCTCACACAGAGTGGGCCTCCTCAGGGTGCCGTCCACCAGACAATGTCGGCTGGCGACCCCCAGGGGGAGAGCCTTCTCTGTGGTGGCGCCCACCCTCTGGAACAACCTCCCCCCAGAGTTACGTACAATAACAGACCTCCGGATTTTTCGTCGGGCCCTGAAAACCCATTTATTTCAACTAGCTGGGCTGGCTTGAGTCAAATTTTAAATTGATTTTAAATTGGAACAGTTTTAATTACGGCCAAGATATTTAATTATTTTAATCAGTTTTTAGATTTTGTATGTTTTGTATGTATGTCTTGTTTTTACTTTGGCTGTTCACCGCCCTGAGTCCTATATTGGAGAAGGGCGGTATAGAAATTTAAACAAATAAAAATAAATTAAGGTGCTATCAAATTTTAGACAGAAAAGTAATTTAAACAATTAAAAAAATATGTTTAAAGGAGTAATATTATGCACAGATTCAAGCAGACCATTGAAACTGAGCAAATAGTTAAAAACATAAGGGAAAAAACCTGTTTGATAAGCCCATGGATTTATTTACTCCAACTTCTTTTCCTTAAATATAGCTGCTTCTCAAAAATTGAGACTACAGTATAGGGTGAAGGCAAAGCCCTACTGCAGGACCTTTTACAATGTCGCATAATGAAAGCTTCTTCTAGCTATCTATTTTGCTGAATGGTACTTGTCTGTTTTGTTTTAAAATCAGTTAAGCCAATAGTCATCATCTATATGTTGTGTCTATTAAATCCATGTGCTAAAATATATAGAAGTGTTTTATTTTGTCTTCCCTAAATCTGCTATTAATCCATTTCATTAGACAATGCCCAATGTTAGTATTATAAGAGCAGGAGCACAATTTCTCCGTGCTTTTTTTTTATACAATGGGTAATTTTTAACCCCTTTTTTATCCCTATCTCAAACATAATTGTTGGATCTTCAAACATAACCCTTCAATCTTTCTTTATAGATGATCCAATTTCTGATTGCTGCTTTCTTCACCTTTTCCAAGTCTTCCATATTCTTTTTGAAATGAGGGAACAAGAATGGTACACTACAATGTTATACCATAAATTATATCTGTTCCTATCCTTTTATTTTCCTTCAATTTTCTAATAATCACCAGTACATAGAACTTCCCCTTTTTGGCCACTTCTACAAAGCAAATTGATATTTTCAAGGGCCTATTTCTAAACCCTTTTACCGCAAAGTGTTATAGACAACTGAGACTCATCCATACATGTGTAAAATTACACTGTTATGGCCATTTGCTTGAATGTGTACTTTACATTTTCATTTTCTTTCAGGTCACTATCACCATGGATCCTGTAAAACAATTCTTTTCAGTAGTTTGAACTGAAAGATAGATCATTTAGTGAAGTTCACAGAAAGATATATCCCTCCATAATCACTAAAAATTTCCTATGGAAAATTATGGTCTATTCTAAGTAATGTGGGATAAGACTATAAAGTTGATGGGAAAGAAAGAATCAACCAAAAATGGTATTGGATTATAAAGTAGAAAGTTCTACTCTCTTCTGCCTTACTCTCATATAATTCAGGGAAATAATTTTACCCACCCAATCTCTCAGGGACTTGCAAATGCCTCCAGAATAGAGAAGATAACAAAAATATTTTCTTAACTTCTTTAAGCTAAGCTATCTTGAGATCCAAGCAAGTAGTCTTCAAAATTATAAATATCTGCTTGCAAAACGTGAAAGGCATTGTCACAACATTCATATTGTTATTGTCTTGCTGCATTTGTAGGGAAGACCTGAGTTTTCTGAAGTAGTGTCCAATTTAGAAGAATGTCTGTGCAACATAGAGGTAAGAACAAAATCTGTTTGTTACTAAATATGGGTGGCTAATTTTGAACAATAAACAATGATTCATTGATTGCTTACTGAAAAAATTCAGATATACTTTTGAGATATTCTACTCTGTTTTCTTTGGAGCCTAAGCTATTTGGTTTTTGTGTGTGTGTGTGTGTGTTTTTTTTTGTTTTGCAAACTAAGCAATTTGATGAAAAAGAAGTATAATAAATGCTCTAACAAAGGGGAAAAAAGCTAGGTCATCATATTTGGAAATACCTAAAACCCTCATTATTTCTCTTGGCTGAAAACAAGGAGTAACTCTGAAAATTGAAGGCGGTTTGAAAAAAAATCATTTTCTCTAATGTACTTAACACTTTGTCTTTGTCACTTTTGTATGAACTTTTTTTTCCAGGGTTTCTTAAGCATTGTAAAAACCTACATAACATTTTAACAGCAACAATTAGGAAAATGAGTGTATACACCCCAGGCATCCATACTGTATATTTTCCCTGCTGATTATAACAATATTGTTTTTTAACCAAGAAAAAAACAGCCAATCAGAATGTACCCTTCTCAGCCAATATCTGATTCCTCTGCTGATCTAGCCAATAAGTGATCAGCTACTGGCCAGCAGTAAAAATCCTTGCACTTTTCAATTTTACTTTAAAAAAAAGAAGTTCCTTTATTTTCTCCATGGAAACAAGTTTGTTTTTTTTTAAAGCAAATTGGAAAGAGTCTTATTGATCCACTTTCTGCCATATCTCTACAAGACAACTCTCTCTTTACAGAATGCCTCTTCGCTCAGTCTGTCACACTGCCATTAGACTGGAAGACCAGGTGAAAGGAGCTGAATCAAACTTTGTCTCCAATGGTTTCACATAGTCATATCATACAATGCCATCAGTCCTGTTGTGTGACTTGCTGCTACAAATGAAAATTCCCTATTAGCAAAAAAAAAAAAAAAAAGCCTACTGCAGTGATGGCTAACCTTTTCCAGACCAAGGGGCCAAAGTGTGCGCGTGCGCGAATGTGCATGCTCGCCCCCAACCCCCCCTAATGCAATGGGCGCACACCCCTGTGCATGCACCCTGCCCTCGTGCATTCACACGTGGCCCCTGCATGTGCCCCAACCCCGTGCATGTGCACGTGAGGCCCGCGCATGCCTCCCTGCACATGGGCCCCACGCCTGTACATGCACACACGCCCACCCGCACATGCCCCGCCCCTCATGCATGTGCAGCAGAGACCCAAAGACCAGCTGGCTAGCAGGAGGCGTGCACACATGCGCAGCAGAGCTGAACTGGGGCAACGTCTCACATGCCATCAGAGAGGGCGCTGCGTGCCACCTCTGGCACGCATGCCATAGGTTCACCATCATGGGCATAGTGACAGCAACAGAGGAAGAGGACCAAGTATGGTGGACCAGATATAGTTAAAGATGTTTTCTCTGAGCTTCAAAATGCTCAACAAATGGACACAATCCCCTCTCTGGTTACATCCCAACAGGCAGCCAGAGTAATGATAACTGTCACAAGACTGATGTAGCAAAATTCAGCTATACTGGGGGAGAGGGGGAATCTAACTTATGCATTTTATACTTATTTAAGTTTCTGCCCTCTGTTCAGCAACAACTTTATGGGAGAAGCATACTAAAATAATTAGATCAAGTTAAGATCAAATGTGTCTTTTGTCTTCAACTCTCTGTAGGAGATCGTTCTAAAGTCTCAAGAAATAGAACAGACAAATCTATAATTTATGCTACAACATGATGACTAAACTACCTTACATTTACCTCAGTCTTCATCCTTATAACCACTAAAGTGATCCAAGAGATAGGAGTTTGGATTAACATTGTAGCGTGGACATGAGTACATGAGCAAAACGTTTTTCCACAGCAAATCCCCTGGACCACACTGAAGCTCCTTGCTAAATAAGCTTAATTAACCAAATGTGATTAATGTAATTTAATTAGCACAAGCAAGGTATATTTGCATCTCTTCAGGAGAGCTTACAGGCAATTTAATTCAAAGTATTCCAGTTTTTTAAAATATTGTACGCAGTATCTTAATGATGTTGCTTTCAGGATTACACTATGAAAGAATCCAAATATTAGAGTTAATGAACTAGAATTAATCAGCAATACTATCAAAGCGCCAAGCCCTGTGGTGCCACGATCACTTCTTCCACACCACTGGAACATTATCAGAACTGCAGATCATAAAGCAGAAGTCCTAAACATGGAAATAGTAAAAACTATTGAGCCTCTGATTGTTATTACATCATTTACTGATATAAGAAGCACAGTAAGTTTTTTTAAAAAAACTGGTGTATTTGAAAGTATTGTATCTTTAAATTTCTATCTAGAGTGTAGTGGAATGTAACATGGATTCCCAGGACAGAGGGGCTGCATTCAGAGGAGCGAGAGACAGCAAAGTTTAGATAGTTTGGTTGGAAAACAGAGGGTCAAGATAGCGCCTCTCTAGAATTTTCAGAGTATATCTTTAATGATGAAAAAAGTTGCTCTAGTTCAGGAGTGTCAAACTCATGGCATCACATTGTTGTAACGTGACATATCGTGACTTCTCCCCCCTTTGCTAAACCGGGGGTAGGCGGGCGTGGCCAGCACGTGATGCATTTGGCCCGAGGGCCACGAGTTTGACACTCCTGCTCCTGTTGCACAAGATTTCTGTCTATAGATGAGGAACAATAAAGAAAATGGCTCAAAAGTAACCTTGTGTGTTTTTCTTGCTTTTTGGAGCCTGACATCATCTCCCTAATTTCCTAATTTCAGACATGTAGAACTGGGGCCATATCTTCTTGTCTAAGGCAAGACTAGAATTCATGATCTTCCCATTTATATCCTGGTTCCTTTAACCGCTACACCAAACTTGCTCCCTTCCAAGGCCTTACTATACCTTTATGGTGGCACAGTGGTTAGAATGCAGTACTGCAGGCTAATTCTGCCAACTGCCAGCAGTTCAATTCTCACTGGCTCAAGGTTTTCTCAGCGGTAAAATGAGGACCCAGTTTGTTAGGGGCAATATGCTGACTCTGTAAACCGCTTAGAGAGAGCTGTAAAGCAGTGCAAAGTAGTTTATAAGCCTAAGTTCTATTGCTATTAGTATTATTCTTGATTTTGAAACCCAAGCTTTCGTATTTCATCAGGGAAAAGGATACCTTTCACTAGGAAGAGAAAAAAATGGATTGAATATTTTCTAAAATAAATGGTTGAGCTGGCCAAACTTGACTTCAGTGCATGAATGATAAATATTGGGGCACTGTAAGCATGTTCAATTTTAGCAATCAGTTCCTAGAAATACCACCTGTGCATGTACATTAGAAAAGTTTCCAAGGTATTTCACCATTCCTAAGTGGAAGGGTCAGGATGCTGGTTCCCAGTATCCATTTTTCTTTCCAGGTTCTATCAGCAGCAGGTAATACAGAGGTAAGCAATTAATTTTCTCAAGGAACCACATGAGGAACTGGGACTTTTGTGGAGGACTGAATCCATAGCTCCTGGCTCTGCTCACCTGCAAGGCCATGTTTTGACTGAGGCAATAGTGGGTTGTGAAGCCCAGGTCTCTTCATACAATGACTGCCGCTGCCATCTCCTCAGGCTGCTCCAGGTGAGGAGCGAGCACTGTGCAGGTGCAGAAAAATGCTTTCTCTCCTCACCCTCGTGTGGCCACCATCCGACTGAAAGAGCAACATGGCAACAGCACAAAGCTAGGCCCAACTGGGCTTCTTCTCCTGTCCCTGTGGTACACTAACTTTCATACGATTTCTAATTTCTAATTGTCCTCACATGGGCTGGATAGGGTTAACCCAAGGGCCGGATGTGGTTTGGACACTGTAAAATACCCAGGTCATATTACGTGAGGATGAAAATACTTTTGAGAGCGCTCAGTATCAGGGGTGAAATCTACTTACCTTCCTTACCGATTCAGAAGCACACAGGCTGCGCAGGTCGCGTGTGCGTGCAGACCTTCTGCACATGCGCAAAACCTTCTGCGCATGCACAGAAGGTAAAAAACATATTACTGAACCACCAGCCAAGGTCGCTACCGGACCAGGCGGTCTGATCCGATCCAGGAGCATTTCACCCTTGCTCAGTATGTGTATTTCTTGGTTGGAGCACAGTGAAGCAATATTTCACTTTTAACTGCCATCTCAAAAAGAGCTCCCTATTCTAATACACTGACAACCGTTCATCTGAATTCCAATCCAGGAGGGGAGCTTGTATACATTTCAAGGCAATACAATAACGCAATTTATTATTACAGTCTTAGACCAGAACAAATAAAAGCACTCAGTATATATATATAAGATGACTTTGTATAAATATACAAAAGTATGAAGGCTATTGCCACTGAGCTAGGGCTGTAGAAAGAAAAATCTTGGTTACGTAGGAGAAACCTGGCTAAAAGAAAAACACACACACACACACACACACACACACACACACACACACACATATATATATATCACCCCACTATGGCTATACAAACATCTTGAGCTACGTAAGAAAAAACCCTGACTAGAAAAGTATTATACATATGAACTTACGAATTAAAAGAACAAAATAAAAATAAATATTTGACCTTTATAGAGAGGAGTCATAAAATAAGGGTGTGGCTGGCCGATGAAGTCTCATAAGACAGAAATAGTACTATCCCAGTCTCCCTTAAGTCTCACAACAGACAACACAAAATGTCTGATAAAGCCTGAAAGTGATGATTTGAGATATCACCCCACTATGGCTTCTAGTATAAAATAATAAATAACAACTAAAATCTATAATAAAATCCAGTGTCAATTATACATGGTCTGACTATAGGATAGTTGCAATCCCTAAACTGTGTGGCCCGTTGTTCATCACTAAAAGGGAAATGACTAAGCAGTGCAAAGGGTTAGCTACAATTGTTATGTAACATCACTATGGTGGAGAAGACACATATTTGTGACGAATCCCCAGTGTTGCTGCACAGAATCTGGCCACCTGTGCTGTAGTTA